CATCACTTCTTCTACACTAGTTATTATTATTTATTATATATATATATATATATATATATATATATAAAAAGGATAACGCGGTTAATAGAAATTAAAATTACATTCTTACCGTTCTTGTTTATAATTATAGAATTATTTGTTACATATTTTACATCGTTAAAATATTATTTGCTTAAAAGTAAGTATCGCTTCGACAAGTTTATCCTCTAATACTAACGGCGAGAAAAATTTCTGATGAGCGGAGATCGATTAATACACATGTACTAACCTAGTAGTCAGACGTCAGTCTCGATGCTCATACAGGCTGGATTAATATTGTTATTATGGCGAGGGTTGCAGTTGGGCTTCTTCGTAATCTCGGGATGAGTGAGCAATATGCCCTCTTCCAGCTCCATTATCTCCGACGACGATTCTGACATCGAGCTCTTCTTCAAGTGTTGACCTGTGAACCAGACGAGACAGAGTTCGACGAGTCATCCTTCATCCTTCATCCTCTCATTTCGAAAACTATTACACCGTGAAATTGGATAAACCGTGAAACTCGATTACCAGTCACCAATGCATGCTTTCAGGATAATCCCCCAAGAGTGAATACTTGGAGAGTTTTTTCCCCCCAACTATCAATTTCCCTTTAATCGTTCAACATCCCCCTCGGATGTCCGCAAATCGTGACTCATCAAGGAAGATGTGAAAAATTGACCGAGCTCGAGTCTAAGCCGATTAAAGTTACGGTAAACTGCCTTTTATCGGGGATGTAGACACGCGATATTGAACAGTGGACAACTTGAAAATGTAATCGCAATCGTGTGGAGGAAAGTAAGGTTAAATGGAGTACTAACTTTGAATTGAAAACTCTTTGATAAAACTGATTGGGCTATCAATAAATTTTTGATTTTTAAAGAATATTTAATTACCAGTGAAAATAAAAGCTTTCAAAAGTCAATCAAAATATTTCGTTTTTTCCTATTTGTAGAATTTTTTTAAGCTATCCTAAATATCCTTTTGTTTTAAATTCTTTCCATTGTTTTTGTACATCTGTTTTGTGTGAGCAACAATAAAAAAAAAGAAAAAAGAAGTAGAAGAATCCTTATTTTCTCATAGAAAAAGAATCAAATTCGTCCAAAAGTAAACTGATTGATCGCGAACTGTCTCGAAATTAATCCAAAAATACCTATCCTATTTTATCTCACTTTCCATATGACAAATCTTGAGGATTCTTAATCGCATTTTATTTACAAGAAAAATGTGTTTAAATCGATTTGAATCTAATATTACATATTGCATTTCCTATTCAACAATAATAGCAAGCTCAGTTTATATCTTTTCCAATCCAATTTAATCGATTCCAAATCATTCTATATATCTAACAGATAAAGAATCTTTTTACTTTGCAAACAGTTTACTAAATCCCTTCTGTAAATAACGTTTCGCGTGAATCGTTAGGGCTGCGTTTACCAAGCCTTCTCTTGTTATTAAATTACACGGGAAGAAAGATTTTTGCACGCGACACAGGAAGCCTTCGTGAGTGATGCCTCTTGCGAGCAACGCTTTGTCCCGTTGAGAAACGGTTGCCTCCCTTTTTTAAAATTCAAATTCTTTCACGGGGTAGCATTAATCGGTGCAGTTTATCGGCATCGAGCACAAGTGCTTAATCCACGAAGTTTGGAAACTGTAGACGCATAAATGCCTTTCGTCTTGACCGAAATTTTCCCTTGCTTGAGTCAATCGTTGTTAGCTTTACTGCCTGTTAACAGTATTCTTCGCAAATAAACTATCGAGCATAGTTCGTGAGAAACTTGTCTAAGTAGTATCTTATATCCTAACCACAGGTCGAACTGAAACTGACCAACTTGTGAAGCAGGATCTATGTCAAGAATTTTGTTTCGACATGAGGTAAGAAAGAGAGAGAGAGAGAGAAGATAATAGACAGTTCGACACAGTTTGACACAGTTTGACAGTTTTTCTTCAGTAAAGACACACTTTTAACGAGGGATAAGAATTGAGGCAACTCGTGATGTAAAATTTTGACCAGAATATAAGGTGTCGCGTCGAAAAACCATGATTTCAATTTATATTTCTATTCACCTCGTGTCGTGAGACAGAATTCTTAATAGATTCTCAAATTAATCTAATCTAATCTATCTAACCTAATCCAATTTGCAAGTTGGCTAATTTCAGTCTGAATCGTATGCACAAGTGTGTTCTAACTAAAACTAAATTATATGATTTTTAACGTAATAGAATAGTGCTATATAATTTTGAAAATAAATATAAAGCAAACAATTAAAAACACTACATTTTTTTTTATTACTAACATTTCAGGATGTATAAATTTTTTCATACATATATATATATTTCAAATTTGTCAATTTTGTAGGCGACACATCGTGCTGTGTGCATTTACTCTACAGTGAAACTCTTTTTTTAGATTTGAGAACTGTATCAGAGGAAACGAAAGGACTCGTACCAGGAAGATACGGGCAGCTGGTCACGTGATTGAAGTTCTGCGACTGCATCTCTTCCTGGTCAGTCTCACGATGATAGAAGTAGTTGAAGTTGGAGACAATGACGGGCACAGGCAGGGCGATCGTCAACACACCGGCGATCGCGCACAAAGAGCCCACGATCTTCCCCCAGACTCCCACGGGCCTGAAGCAGAGGGAAACGAACGGTTTCATTCGCGGCCAGCAACTGGCTCGTACGTCGATAGCTTCGTTCCTCGTCTAGAAAACTCGGTGCTAGGTGTGGTGTTTCTATCTTGTGTGAGTTTGCCGTGTCGAGTCGAGTGTGGCGCTACTTATGCGGTACTGGAGGCTCCTATGTAGACATACACGGGCGATTTTCTGTGTGCTCTTCCGTCGACGCGATAAAATGGACACGACCGGAAAGACCAGTTCACAATCGATCATTAAATTTTCTTTTCCCAAATCAGAAGTGGACACTGTTGAAAGAATCTAGTTGAAATTCATTATTCTCGTTTTCAGGAAATTTCTTTCGATGAAACCTAATTTGCAAACTTTGCTTTTTTTTTTTTTTTGCTTATTCAACCGATCACAATTATTAATAAAAGATCCACCAATATAAAGAAAGTTCAATGCACTATGACGATCAAATAGGAATCGTGATTCCACAAAAGCTATCGACCTATTATTTCTCTTAATGTATCTTGTTTTCCTGTGATAGGGTGGTTCTATTAATAATTGTAGTAAAATCTTAACTGTAAGTTGTAATATAATTCTTGATCTGAACAATAAGATAAAATTGTTTGCTCTTTTCGCGCGTTTATTTTCATTTCAAATAAAAAGTGCCCAATCCCGTTGGAAAATTGCATATTTATCTTTTTCTATACGAATAACCAATCGAGATCGATCTTTTCTTCTTTTCACTTCCATCAAATTATAATTACAAATTTATCATTTCTCCACACATCACCGTGTACATCTACTTATAGTGTTTCGCGTGTCTAATAAGAAGCGGGCTCACTAGGCTAGACTAGGGGACTAACGTGACTCTCTAATAAAGGCTCCTCGTCTCGTGTGCCAATGCACCGTTCCAAACAAGCGCGTGCCATTCCGTTACTTAGATCCGATCGAATCTTCTAAACGGTACGACATGCAATTCTCTACACTTTCACGCTCTTTTTTTTCCAAGGAGCATCAACATAATCGTGTCGAAATTAGGGCTTTTATTATATAGGTCGGATCTACGGGTATTCGAGTATTCGAATCGAGCATTCGAATACCCGGATACTGGATACTAAAACTATCGACTTAAGTTAAGAATATTACATCTGATTCAAATTAAGGTATTATTACGAATATAAAACGGATATAAAATTAATATTAATCTTGCTAATAAATTAATTTAATATCTGTATAAAAAAAAAAAAAATAACACGTGTGAAATGGATGAATTCGACTCGATTCGGTAGTTCTAGTATTAATTTGGATCCTTGAATACTTGAATACAATTTAGATATGAATGCTCGTTATAAATAAGGTTTTATTATCTTAACATCCGAGTACGATAACATCCAGATAACAGAAATGATGGATGAAAATATAAATTTCATTAGGTATTAAGAAAATTTATATTCGTATTCGGTTGTTTGAGTTATAATATCTTTGTGGAACAAATATAGCGAGTAAACTCAGTCAATAATTTACAAATTACGTTCTTAAAAGAAAAATTTAAAAAAAAAATTTAACTCGTATTTAATACAATGCCAATACGTGACTCATTATTTCTCTTTCTCTTTTATACAAAAATAACATATATATTCGTAGAACACTTTTGAATAAGCAATTGAAGTGAGACACAAAAAAGAGGTATCCATCTTTATCTCATTTCATTTAATACAAATTTCAATTTGACTTTTAAAAATCGATCCTCTATAAAAATGTCACATATTAACATTCTATTATTCCAGTGAATTAAGGAATAATTAAATCTCTAAATAAAACTCGATCATTTGGATGTTACTGTATTTTTCACTTAATCGCTTATAAGTATCGATTACAAGTATTTCGAGTACTCGGATGCAGGATAATAAAAACATTAAAAGTGAAAGTATGTTTTTTGACCGAACCACATTCTTTGATCTCGTAGCCTCGATAATAGCGCGAAATTCGAATTTGAGGATACAGGTGCAATCGATTTCTCACGAGGGTGGAACATCATCTCAAGAATCGAGCAATTAAGGGACGAGCGACGAGCGATGGAGATTACCGCGAGTTTTTCAAGTTTAATCAGCGTAGAGAGCAGAGAGATGATTAGAGCCGCGTTTCATCGAGTTGAAAGCTGCGAGAAACACTCGCTCACACATCGACCGTTTTTAACGTTGCATCTTTCTGGAAATCGGTAACGAGAAGAAATTTTTGTATCGATGCAAACGAGCTACGATTATGGCTCAACTATGGTTCGATAATCGTGGAAAGGGAAGAAGAAAAAAATGAAATGTGGAGAAAAAAATACAGATGGATCTCTTTTTCTTTTTGACTTGAAAAGTATCTACTTCGTCAACAATTAAAATCATAAATAACTTTGATTTTTCGAATTTTTTCAAGATAATAACGATTATTATTAGAATTAGAATTAATTCTTGCTACATGAATTTTGGAGAATTTAATTATAATGGATTATGTTTAATCACAAACAATTTCGAAGGAAATATACTAGATTTTTGAATCAAATATTTTCTAAATATCTTTCAGAAATAATTACTTTATGAATTGTATTGAAATTTGCACAAATTTTATAAATTTTGAGTAAATCAGAATATATTGTGATTATGTGAAAATTCAATACTCGTTGTAATGTAAATATGCTTGATATCAAAATATTTAAAATAATTTCAAGAGTTCCATTGCAAAAATAGCAAAAATATTCGGATTTCAAGAATTGAAAATTTTTCGAAAGAAAAATAAAATAAAATAAACAAATAAGATAACAATAATTTTAAACACGATATTTCGAATCACGATAAATAACGATAATTTTTTAAATTCGAGAATTCGAAATTTTTCTGATCTCTCACGATGACGCGCAGAACGACATTTCTTGCTTTTTATGTTTCTCTGCTCTCTACCTTGGTCAATAAAAAAAGAAAAAAAGAAAAAAAAAAAAAAAGAAAAAGAAAAATTCCAACGAGATACCAATTAACCGTTTGAATGGTGGAACGATTAAAAAGATTTCCTCTCTCAATTACCAGCATGCCAGATTATATAGGACGCAATGACGGTTATTCCCGACTAATCCGTGACTGCGAAATGACGCATTCTTTGCGGCTGGAAGTCTAATTGAATAACTGTCACTATATATCACGAACAATACCCGGTTCGAGATCAAAGGCGGCAAAAGAAGAATTCAACGCTCGTCACGCTCATTCACGTTCACTCGATGCATGCATGCGAATGGATTTCAGCGCGAATCATCCTCTCCCCTCGTCAAGTTTCTTTTCTTCTTCGTTTTCGTTCAAAAGAACATGTGGTACACGCGTCAATTTTGTTTCTGAACACGCGAATTCTTCGAGCCGAGGCGTGCGCCATCTTTGCCCCTTGAGTAGGCAACCGGACAGGTGGCACGATTGAAATTTATTGTATAGAATAAATTCTTATTCGAATAATAGCGCGATGAAAGATAAATTAATAAATTGATATTTATTTACTAGATATCGATCGTTTAATTTCAGTAAAAAAGAAAATATAGAAATGACGAAGATTTTTAGAGTAATTTTAAATGAAATTTGTATTCTTTTTTTTTTTTTTATTATTTGTATAAATAATCGAATATTTATTAATATATAGATCGTTTGTAAATTATCCATTTATATATCTGCAAAACTTCGCAATATTTTCATTTCAAATAAATTTATTTCTTTATTTGAAATAATTATTTATTTATTTACTTGTTAATTTATTTCAAATGTTCAAATCAAGTATCCACTTTTACAATAATATATTTTATTTTAATGATTTTTCCTTTTTGACAAAATAATGGCAAAACTGGATATTCATTCTTCGAACGCTTTTATATCAATTTATCTTTTAATAATTTTGTGAACATAGAAGATTATTAAAAAATATATATAAAAATAGAGATTTATATACCCGGTTGCCTATAGTAGGGCCAACCCATTAAGGCCAAAAATTGTTAATATTTTTAAAAATCACAATTATGAAGAGAAATTTAGAAAATTTACTTTTTTAAAATTATCTTTTCTTCTTTTTGCCATAATTAACGATGTTGCAAAGTTTTAAAAAATCAAATTATTCGTGGATTTATGATAAAATTTAAATCATAAATATTTTTTGTTTCTCTATCTTATGTCTTAGAGAATTCTCATATAATATTTATCATACGTGTTCGTTTATGTTGAACGTTTAAAAAAAATTCGATTAGAAATATTTCGCAAAAAACGCAACATTTCACTACGTGAAAACTACTGATCAAAAAATGTGTTAACGGCATTTATATTTGTTTCTACATACCTTGGTGAGAATGTTAAGTAATCATAAAAATTGCATTACACTACTTGGTCCTTAATGGGTTAATACAGTCCTCTTTATTCAAAATGTCTTATCTTTCGAAACATATATAAATTTCTTATTAAAAGAACCAAAAAAAAAAAAAAGAAAAGAAAGAAAGAAAGAAAAACAAATTAAGTCTAAATTAATAAGATTTTCCAATTGTTCCTTGTTCAAAAATTCAGCTCAAAGAAATAAACAAATTTTAAACAAGAACAAAAGACATTTCAAATAAAGAGAATATCGAGTTAATCTGAATCGTTTTTAAGCGAAACGCGAGCTGTTTGAACGCAAATCTCTCAATGTGCGATCCAAGTGTAAATTATTAGTATTTTTGGTGAGTCATAACGTATCGAATTAGTTGCAAAATAACAAATCATTCCTATGCAGGTGTCACTGTACTATGGGCCTTTGTGATCCATGACTGATGGTAGTAGCAGTAATGATAGAGCGCTGTGAGCCAAAGTAAAAACAGAGTATTTTCCAAACAAGATTCAAGTGATTTTTGGGATTAGTATATAAAATGGAGTATGTTTGATCGCAAAGAAGCATGCAAAAGTGATTGAGATGAGATATGCGAGATATTGGATGTTGGAAAGAGTAAGTAAGAGGGAAAGATAGAAA